GCGCTGACGGAGGGCGGCGGCCGCGGCCAGGGCGGCCGGTGGGACCGCGGGTCCCTGGCGCAGCGCCGCCCGGCTCCCGGCCCTGCCGGCCTCCTCTCTCGGCGCCGCAGCCATGGCGGCCAGCGCGAAGCGGAAGCAGGAGGAGAAGCACCTGAAGATGCTGCGGGACATGACCGGCCTCCCGCACAACCGAAAGTGCTTCGACTGCGACCAGCGCGGCCCCACCTACGTGAACATGACGGTCGGCTCCTTCGTCTGTACCTCCTGTTCCGGCAGCCTGTGAGTGCGGGGCCGCCGGGCGGGCGGGGGGCCCTTCCCCGGGCGTGGGGAGCGGGCGGCTGGGTGGGGGTCCTGCGGGGGTCCGGCAGGCGGTGGCGGTTGGGGCGCGGGCTCGCGGGGCGGGGCGGTCGAGGCCAGGGGCCGGGATGCGCTGGGCCCGGGCCGCCGGGCTGGGGATGCGCTTTCGATTTCGCCGGGCGAGGGTCCAGGCCTGGGGCAGCCTTTGTGGGTGGGGCGTGGGCGGGGTTGGGGTCCGGAGGGGGCGCCCGGCGTGAGCATCTCTGGTCCCCGCGGAGCCGGCGCCGCCTCCCTCGGGCCTCGGCTTTCCCGGGCGCTGACCCGACGGGACTGCAGGGGAAAGACGGGAGGAGGCTGGGGACGGCCGTGCGGGTCCTTTGTGTGCCCCGCCTCTCCGCCGGGGCGCGGCGGTCCCGAGCAGTACACCTGCCGGGCGCCGTTGGGGGGTGGGGGAGAAGCTGGGGTGGGAGAGAGCAGGGACGCTTAGCTTGGGCTTTTTTTCCTCGGGTCGAGAGTACCTAGGTCAGTGCGAGGAAGCCGGCACTTAGGAATAGTAGCGGGATTAAAATGTCTTGATGGCAGAGATGTGATTCCCAAGGGAAAAGTTAGAGAAGATTAATTGCGGGAGAGGGAGGCAGAGAAAGCAGACGTGAGGTTGCGGGGCTTTAGCTTTATGGTCCAAAGAGAGTCTTGAGGAGTTTGGGGGAAGTTTTGGTGGAAATAAGGAATTGACTCGGAGCTGTGTCATTGTAAATATGGTGGTGGTATCTGTAAGGTTTTCTCTGTCAATAGCTAAGTGTCCTGGCTGTGTACAGAAATGAGGAGAGATGGAAAGACAGCGTTGTTTCAGAAAAAGGGAGACCATCGTCTTGAATTACTGGGATGGTTTGTATTTCTTCCTCTTTGTTCCATTAAGCTGCATTTTCATAAGACTTTTGTTGCTGTGATTGAAGGTTTTTTTTGGAGAGTTTGCGGATGATTTTGGAACTGAATAAATTGCTTTTATATGCTAAATTATTTTGTATTCCCTAAGTTATTGACGAAGTGGTAGTTACTAAATGTTCGTAAAACCTTTGGTCTACCAAATATCTACTTAAGTTCTTTCACTTGTACCATTCTTTGAAATAAAGTAATTTGTACCCCACTTCTCCCCCAAAAAACTTTGTAAGAGTAATACCGAGGCAATGGATATATGAGAAAACTCATTCTTGGAAAATGCAAGATATGCCTAGTAGAGTACGATTTGTTTATGTTTTGTTTTCTTAAGTTGGGCAAAGAAACATTATTACTCTTCCATGACTATTACTTCTTCAACAGACATTTATTGGGTGCCTACTAGGTTCTTTGTAAAGCCTTGGACTGTGCTGATGATGAGAGCAAAATCCTTGTTCTCTTGGTGCTTACATTCTAGTGGAGGAGATGGGAACACATAATAAGTAATCAAATGAGAAAAATGTCAGGGGCAAGTATGCACTAAAATAGTATGATAGGAGAGACCTTCTCTGAGAGGTCACTTTTATTTTATATATTTAAAATTTATTTCATTTTATTTTTGGCTGCATTGGGTCTTTGTTGCTGCGTGCGGGCTTTCTTCAGTTGCGGCGAGCGGGGTCTACTCTTGGTTGCAGCTCGTGGGCTTCTCATTGCGGTGGCTTCTCTTGTTGCGGAGCACGGGCTCTAGGCGTGTGGGCTTCAGTAGTTGTGGCCAGAGGGCTCAGTATTTTCCCAGACCAGGGCTTGAACCTGTGTCTCTTGCATTGGCAGGCGGATTCTTAACCACTGTGCCACCAGGGAAGCCAGAGAGGTTACTTTTAGATTGTAGAGTCAAGAAAGCACTCTGAGAAGTTGATAGTGTTATTGAAGTACAACACAATCCTAGAGCTAGGTGGTATTTAGGAAATAGTCTGGTTCATTCTTTTCATTTACAAATAAAGACTTAGTTTGTGGGCAACTTTTGGTTTTAAAATGAAGCCAATAGTCCAATTTGTTTTGAGTATACTTGCATTATGTGCATAATAAGTATGCCAGTGTTTTTACTAAACACAAGGTCCTTTGATACATTTAAAGTATTTAGTTTGGAAAGTATGTATATATTTCCTCTTCTGGATTTCTGACATTTCTGTGTAGCCATTTGCAAGTATAAATTTACTTTGTTGCAGCAAATGTGTAATATGAAAAATATTTACAAATTTCTTCCTAGAGGTCACATTTCCGAAACATTATATATGAAAGGATATCTCATTATACATGACGATTATTTATTTTATTGGAATTTAATCTGTAACAGATAGGACTCCATATCTCTGTTTAGTGGTGATTCTGCAAATATTTATTGCTCACTTGGCTTGTGTCATGTACTGTGGGAGGCACTGGTCCTCCTTGGATCCCACTATCCTTAAGGAGCTTGCATTCTAAGAATGTAAACATAGTTATGATACACTGTAATGTTTCATAGCTTTGAGCTATCCCTGAAATACGTAAATGAATAGGGAAAGCTTCACAGAAGATTTGATGCCTGAGCAAAGACCTTTAAAGACAAGATCCACATGGCAGGTGGCTTCATGTAGTTGAAAGAACAAATACTTATGAGCTAGATAAACCTGGTTTTGAATCCTGGCTCCACTTACCAACTGTGTGGTACTGAGAATGTCAGTCTCTTTGAGTTTGAAGTTTCTCATCTATGAAAAGGTGAGGATAAGGTTTACCTTATACATTTGGGATGTAGATTAGTTTTCAATATTAGAGATAGTGTATGTTTGACATCTCACATGATGCCTGGGATATATAATATCAATAGCTCCCCAATATATGAGGGGCATTATTAACAAGGGGGACAGGATATTCCATGAGTAGGGAACAATATGTGAAGGATGCTGAAATGAGAAGCAGCTTTATAAAAAAATCTGTCAGTTTGGATTCTTTAGATGTAACTCAAAACCTGACTCAAGTTGGTTTAAAAATATGAGTGGAGGGACTTCCCTGGCGGTCCAGTGGTTAAGACTTCGCCTTCTGGTGTAGGGGGTGCAGGTTCGATCGCTGCTCAGGGAGCTAAGATCCCACATGCCTCCAGGCCAAAAAACCAAAACATAAAGCGGAAGCAATATTGTAACAAATTCAATAAAGACTTTAAAAAGTGGTCCACATCAAAAAATCTTTGAAAATATGAGGGGAATTTATTGTGTTTTTAAATAAGACTTTATCCAGTGGTTAATGATGTTGCCTCGATTTCCCTCATCCAAAGATGGCTGCTTCCAGCTCCTGGGGCTACATACTGCCTTAATTTATATCATTGTTACAACTTTTCCAGAAGTTGTGATTCAATCTGGGTTAGCTTAGGTCATATGGCTAAGTAGAACCATTGCCCTCATTGGATGCGTTCTATCATGACGTTATTGGAACAAGAAAGATCTCCAAAATAGAGTTCCCAACTCAGAAATCTGGGATCCTTGTGAAGGAAAGAATGGATCCTGAATCAAATGTCTGCTGCAGAAATATTGAAAGGACAGTAATTCCTGAGGGTTTTTTTCTTTGGAAAGCAATAATATAGGAAAATACTTTAAGAATAATATAACTATTGAGTTTAATAATAATGTCTTTGCTATTTAGATGCCATGGTATAATTGAAAGAATATGAATTTTGAAGTCAGATTTTGACACTGCCACTAGCTTTGTGACTTAGGGCAGAGTATTAAGGCCACTATGTGTAGGTTGGCCTGGACTCATCCCCTCAGCCTCAGTTTCTTTATTTGTGATAAAAGATGGTAATATATAGCTTAAGGTTGTTCTGAGGGTTAAATGGTACAATTCATTGAATATTTATTGAACATATATTATTTTTGAGTATGGGGCTAAGCAGTGGATGTACATATATGAACTGAGTCATGTTAGCTGCCTGTCAGAAACCTTGATGTGCCTAAAAAATGCTGATACACAGTAAAGGGTATCTACTATCATGAATTTAAAATTTTGGGATAGTCACATGCCTTTTATCATATGTTTAGCAGTATCTTTGTTTAAATAAATCGAACAAGTATCTTATTGTTAATATTACTAGACTCAGAGCTGATCTTTTTTTTTTTTTTTTTTTCGGTAATTCTCCCGCCGCGGAGCACAGGCTCCGGATGCGCAGGCCCAGCGGCCACGGCTCATGGGCCCAGCCGCTCCGCGGCATGTGGGATCTTCCTGGACCGGAGCACGAACCCGCGTCCCCTGCATCGGCAGGTGGACCCTCAACCACTACGCCACCAGGGAAGCCCAGAGCTGATCTTTTATTTCCTGTTTTTTCTTTCAGATGACTGCGCTCTGTGCTTGTACGATGCTTATTTAGAATATGTAACTGAATTCCGATTGTGAAACTTTAAAATAGACTTGAGATAGATGTATTAAACTGTCACTGAGGTAGAATGGGGTTGTCCTAACAGATTGATTTGTCACTCTTTCTGCTTCTGTCTACAGAAATACTTAGAATTATGAATGGCATTCTATTACAGCCAACATAAAATATTACCTTCATGTTAAAGAACTTACAGTTAATTTAAAGACTAGCTTTAGACCAGATTATTTATTTTGTGGAGAGTTTTAGCATTTGTGTAATCAGTAAATAATGTGAGAGTTGTTTTATCCTTTAAAAATGATTCATAAACTTTTCAGAGAGAGTTTAGATAAAAATAAAAAATAACATTTGAGAAACACTGTGTCCCACCTAATACCAGCCCTTTTATGTGAACAGTGCATTTAAACTTGGAATTTCACAGGAGGATAAATGTAGACAGATAGTAACTTATACTCTATTAATTTTGTGTGCATTTTGAGTCTTTTGGTGAATCTTATAAGAATTTTGACTTTAAAGTTGGACAGATGAAAAGAGGCATTTGTTTTTATACACTCATTAACATTTGAGTGGATTGCAATCAGATACCCTTTTGGAACTCTCTTTATAATATTCAGTACCACATGAGCTCACAGTTGGCGGTGATTTATAT